ACACACACACACACACACACACACACTGTGACGAGTTACTTCTCAGAAATAGTAGTACTTCAGTGGAATGTATCGAGTCGAGGACAGTGTCCTGTCTGTGGACTTTGAAGGTGGTGTCAGTAGTCAAGTGGTTGGGCTCTGGGCTAGCTACCAAAGTGTTGTAGGTTCATTAACTCTTTGAGGAGCCTGACATTGTGTGTCTGGGAAAGGCACTTTACACAAATTTTCCTCACTTCACCCAGGTGTGAATGGGTAGCCAGTTATAGGCTCAAAAGGTATTGAATATGTTTGAGTGCTTAATCAACTGCTTGCACTGTATGCTTCCAAGGAAGATGAGAACCTTTATGAGCGTCTCAAGTTCTGCTTGGGTAATAAAAATATAAACTGCGTAATGCATAGAGTTTTCTGTTGAGTGGGGAATATGCACTGTACCAATGCTGGTTATTGTCATTATTAATTTAATAAAATTGTGAACATCTTTTGATGTGGCTGAAAGAAATATTAATGCACCAATCAGCTTTTTTGTAGATTATGCATGGGACATAATTGTCTTATAATCCTGCAGATTGTTTTATACAATTCTTTTTTTTAACTTTTCAAATTGGTTATATTTATCCCAGCATGGTATGTTTGTGTTTTCTACTTTTTCTTTGCAATAACTTTCTTCTCTCTGTTATGAGTTGACAGATTTGATGTACAATGGATGCCATGTTTTTTTATTTTTAATGAATTCAGGTCTACCTGGTTAGCCCTAATTACTTTTATCTTTTTACTCAGTAACAAGGAGGTACCATATACGTTTGTATGTGGAGAATCTCAATTTTTGCATGAATTAAGAATATATTTGCATGACCTTTTATTTTTTAGTCTATTACTTGTATTTCTAGAATTTCATGTCATAGATGGGTTCATCGCGAACCATATAAAAGTAAAGAGTGAATGTATGTTAATTTGACTTTTGTTCACATTTTTAAAGCATAATTTCTAATGTCTTGCTGTTCACAGCACAGTATGTGTTTTAGTTTTTAAAATGAGTAATAATAACAATAGAATTTGGCAAACAAACAAAAATATTGTAAAAACCATGAGATGAACAGCCAGGCAAAGAGAATTGTTGGAGGGGGGGGGGATGAAGAGAGAGAAACACAGACAGATGCAGAGAGGGAGACAGTTAGAGAGGGAGGGGGAGAGGGAGAGGGAGAGAGAGAGAGAGAGAGAGAGAGAGAGAGAGAGAGCAATTGGATGCAAAAAAAAAAAAAAGTAAAAAAAAGATAGTTTAAAAATTAGACTTGTGGTTTCTTATTTCTTTCAATTTGGTCTTTCTCTTTCAGGTCGAAGCTTGAATGTGAAGAAGAATGATGCCATCAAAGAGTCCACAGAGAGCAACACCCTTGAGGATGAAGACTCTAAAGGTATGCTCTGGTGGAGTGTTTAAGTCATACATGTTCATACATTCATATTGTTGCCAATGTTATTGTACCTGCTGACCACTCATTTTCTTTCATTTATTTATGTGGGGTTTCTTATTGCACATTTTGAAATTTGTACGTGGGGTGCTTCTTAGGAGTGTTACTTTTTGAGGCATTTCTATGTCGAACGTTGAACGTGTTTTGCCTTTTTTAAAGGATGGTTTCTATCGAGCTCAATAGCTATGTTTGGATGCGAATCAAAGGTGCGTTTGTACAATAGGCTAAAAGAAAGGCATTATTTTTCCGGCTGTAAGTGGCATATTCACTTTCTATGTTTGTGGTGGATGTATAAATGTTTTAAATAATTTGAAGATTAATAAAGGTGTGTTACTATGTTTTTTGTACAAGAAACTAAAAGAAAAGGTTGAGTTTCATTGTGTTTTGTTTTATTTGGCTTTTTTTTCTGCTGATAAGAAAATCAGTACCTGCGTGACTTTTAAATTTAAAGAACACTAGTTGAATTGAATTACCCATTGTGACTTCAGTCTTTGTGTATCAGATTCCCACTGTGATATGTCTTGTGAACTGTACCATAATGACTCACGGTGTATGTGTCGGTTGTCACACATTATGCCTTGTCCTATTGTCTTTTCTCTGCAAATTCCATGCAAAACATGCTTGTCTCTTCTTGTAAAGGATAAGTGGTGAAATGAATTTAGATGGTTTGTTTGTTTTCATCTCATCCTTGTCCTATAGTAATGAACACTAGTTCTGAATACTTTTGTCATTTCCTGTAAGGTCAATATTTGATATTTTATTTCATAATCATCAGTACCTAAGAGACTTTTTATTGTTTATGTCATTCTGAGATTTTTAGTTACTTTTTTGCTTCTTTTAGTTTTTGACGTTGCTTATATATTTTTCTACCAGAAAGTACCCAGTGAGGTTGAGAGTCAAATAATAACACCTCCCTTTCTCCCCTCCCCCTGGAAACAAAAAGCAAAAAAGAAAGTACAACTTCAGTAAACATACAGTTGTCATTAGGGGAGAATGGAAAAAAGAAGTAAAAGCATAAAGGTGAAGATATATTCAAGGATTCTCTACATAGCTTCTAATATCTTTAAACCTGAGACTTGGTAAAAGAGGTACAGAAGTTGGTAAATGTGTCATGCTTCTTTATGATGACCAGTAAGAGGAAGAACATGTTTGGAATGAAAACGTTTTCCTACCGTTTGTTTTAAAGCTGTATCAGTGAAATGTGACTTGGAGAGTAAGTATGTCCACCTGGAGTGAGTCGCCCTGTCATGCATAGAGCAGTCCTGCTGCCTCGTTAGATGCCTTGCTGAATAACCCATGTCTCATTTGCTCCTTCTCTCCACACTCTGACATTTCAGTATCCAGTCCCGTTTGTTCTGTTCATGGGCTCCCAAATACCTAATATCCCTTAGTTTTGAACAATGATCTTTTCCATATGCATCTTTTATGACTAAGCCAAGAACCTTGCATGATGACAACTTAACTTGCAAGTAATTCCATTCTTCTCAGTTACTTCATGCTGTCCACCCCTCTTCCTATGAAATTTATTTTTCTTACCCACTTTTGTTTGGAGTCAGAACTTGAATTTCAAAGCCATTCTCTTCTTTCTGTCTTTATTTGTACTTTTGTAGACCAACGTTTTGTATGTAGAAGTAGTTTTGTGTGGTCCTCCTCTCATTCATCCATACATTCATCCACCCACTCATTTGGTCATTCTCATTTGAATATAAGCTGTCTAAGATTCTGGCTAGCTTTTTATAAGACTGCCACTGCTCAGGGTAGCTGAGGCAAGCACAAAATTGTAGTGTAAACCCAGACTTTGGTTGTGGAATAATTTTATGGCACACATCTGAGAGTTAGACAGGATTGGGTTACCTGTCTAGATGTATTTAAAAGTGTAATGAAACTGTAATGCTCTCGCTGTCAGCTCAAAACTGCAATGAACATTGGAATTGTTCATTGCAGTTTTGAGTGGGTTTGAAATGTCAGCTTGTTAAAATAATCTGTGGACCATGTTCGGAAACGTTTCCCTTTTAGTAACAAACATGCACTTTCCATCCTTAATGGATAGGTTCTATGTTGTCACAGTACATTTACATACAAAGCTTTCTGCACCCTTCTCAGAGGTCTTTTTTTTTGGTCAGCCAAAAGGGCTTGTTCCCAAGTACTTTTCTTTCTTTTTGTTTTGTTTTCACTTCAAGATCTCATGGCTATTTGAGTTGGTTCACAAATCTACAATGGATAATTTTTACATGATTAGAATCTAGAATCCTGCAAGATGCTTCTGTCTTCTGTGGGAGAGGCCAGCCCCTTATGTCTCTATATATGAGCTTTTGCCAGTAGGTGGGTACCGAAAATGTAGCACAGAGGGCTGCAAGCTGATGATGAAGTTTTTAATATTTCGTTTTTACTTGAATTTTTCTGTTCTTGTATATCTCCTACAAAAACAAGTATATACAGACCTACAGATGGCATTCTAAGCTGTGTAACTGGCGTTACATAACATCAAGTCAAATCTTTCTGACATAACTATGATAAAACTTTTCTTGTTTTTTTAAATCTTCAAACATAAAGAGCATATAAAATGGTGAGGATCACAGAGAAAAGAAATTCTGAATGCCGTTGTGTTTGCATTTGTGTCATCATAGTTGTGTCCGAAAGAAATGAAAAACTTTCCATTTTCATATCTTAATTTCTTTTATGAAAATTTGGGCAAACAACGATTCAGAAGATATTATTTGACTCACAATGCATGTTAATAATGAAAAAATGCCACTTTATCTATGAATCTCTGCGAAATATCAAATGTCTTTCGAACATAGCCATGATGACACAAAATGAAAAATACACTGAAAAGAAATTTATGGAGCATAAAATTATATTGATAGTTTTCTCATTCCTTTAATTTTAAAAAATAAGCATGAAGAGCATATGAAATCACAGAAAAAAGAAATTCTGAATGCCTTTTTGCATTTGTGTCATCATAGTTATGTCAATAAGAAATAAAAAAAACTTTCCATTTTCATATTTTAATTCTTTTTTATTTTATTTTGGCAAACACAGATTCAGGAGATTCAGTTTGACTTATAATGCATGCTAATGGTGAAAAAATGCTACTTAACTCACATTTTATTATGACTTTATGCAAAATACCAAATATCTTCAAACATAATCACGATGTCACATAATGGATATATTTGTCACCATTTTGCAACATATCATCAATTTACACCAAATTTATCCAAATCGTTGATATCTGGCCAAGCACGCGTGGTCGCATCTAGATCTATCATTATTTGACCATTGGAACGCAGTGTGATGTTAATCATTACTTTGTTTAAATTTAACTAAATGGGGGAAACATTTTTTGGACAACAGCTTTTTTTCAAACATTTCAAGTTAAGATTTGATGACGACATTAGAAAACTTCAATAAATTTGTCTCATCCATTGTTATTCTTCTCACCGTCTTGCATGGCACAACAACACGCCTTGAATGGATCGACAGGAACTATGCACATTCCTCCACCCCTATTATTTCTTGTTTTCTGATCAGTTCTTTAGAGCTTATAAAATGATGACAGAGCACGAGGCGTCGCGGGATTTCCGTTTACTGCAAAATTACGCTCGGTCACTGCCTCGGAATCAGTCAGGGCAGACAGTAAACATTGAACGATATTATGCTCATTCCAGGACCCCAAAATGTCTGATAGAAACAAAGTCACATGGAATCGAAGTTACCTTACGAAATGACTGCACAAGTTATGCTCGAAAATGAAAATCTAGAAGGCTCACAAAGAAAAAACAGCTACAGATATCAATATTACTGATAAAGCACCACAAATAATGTAGTTGTAGTAGTGAAAGTGTAGAAGGACGAGTTTCTCAGCAATTATTTAATTGTTAAACTTGCGACAGGAAAAATACGAACTGGACGTGTCACATTTTGCATTCTAAAAATACATCAATTTCAGTACTAAAAATATTTGTAAAATTTCTTCTTATAGCGCGACTGCCATTTCTCTGTTCCCATAGCTGAAATATCATATTAAACACAACGTATACAAATTTCAAAGCGGTAGCACCTTTTTAATTGGAATAGGAAAGGATTTTGTAAGGTATATAAAGAACCCCACCACCCCCCGACCATTGGCAAAGGCTCATCTACAAAAGAGCATCCACTTTTGTTTTGGTATGTCCTTTTCTTTTTTAGTTTTTGTAAAAAACAGGAGCTGTTCTTCTTGGAAAAGTGTTTTTAGATGATCATTGGTTGTTCTTCTTTACCATCTGTCTGTTGTTTCTGGCTGTCTGTCTTTCTTCTCCACAGCTTTATATAAACTTCGGGAGAAATAAGTGAGCTCAGCATACATCAACCGTTTCCACACCCTGATGAAACTTATTTGTCACTTCCATAACACAAGCTTCTGTTCTTTGCTGTGCACATTGGGCTATCCTGTGTCACCAGCTTTCTTTGTGCTGGGTCAGATTTTCTGCCTTTTCCCAGTTTGGTCCACTTCTGTTAGGCATTGTGTTTGTTAACCTTTTCTTTTCCTGACAAAAACTGATTTACCAGCTCTGCTGTATACAGACTTTTTTCTTTTAAGCATCACATTTTTGTCTTGGCGCTTCTCTATTTTTTTGAGAGAGTTGAAATTCAGCTTTGTTGGAAACAAATATTAAAATTTCATGTCTGTTCATTTTTGTATCTGTTTCGAAAAGTGTGTTAGACATTGCCATACAACACAATATCTCGTTTGGTTGCTATACCATTTACAGTGTTTCCTTCTTCACTGGATGATGTTGTGATGCGTGACCAAGTGCTCTGTGAGATACATATTGATTTTGTTAAGTCAGGGAAAATGAAAAAGCAAAGGCCACAAATTAGTTGTGTGCCGTCTTCAGTACTAATCAAATTGTTTTGAATGAACTTGACTGCAGGATCTGAAGTGTGCTGTTCAATATATGGAGGAATTGCATTATGGATGGTGTAGTTGGTGTAAAATATTATGATCTATAGGCCTACCATATACGATGCTATATAATTATTACATGATTTAGCTGTGATGACTTCTACATGTAATCGCAGAAATATACATGTCTCCACTGTCTCATCATACTCATTGCTAGCCTTGCTGGACTGTCTGCACAGTGCTTTTTGTTCTTTGTATCTTCTCTCTTCAATTTTGTCTATTGTTTATTTAGTATTTAGTCGTTTGATTTTTTTGCTCTATGTAGTTGTAGAATCCTTCTGTTTTAATATTTCATGATCTCATATGCAGTTTTTCTGATCCTTTTCCTTTACAAATAAATGGAACTTGTAAAGGCTTGCCACTTTGACAAAATTCTTGAGATCCTCAATGGTAAAAACTATTTAATTTCTTAACGCTGCTCTGCTTTATCAACATAAAAGTTGTATTCCACTTTAGATACAATCGAAGATGTGGTGGAAACAGTTTTGGAGTATATGACCTACCACTATAGACATGCTATTCAAGATGTCTGAAATAATGAAGCAGGTTTCAATGAGCAGATACTTATAAGCGTGTGTCGCACTAATTCAGCTGTCCAGGTCACCCAACCAGTCTTGCGTTGTTCCAGTGTGTGCTTCTTTTGAATGATGCATTGCTAGTAAAGAAGTATGTGCAAAGAGTGGAATTGTACCATTGTTTTTTTCCAACTCTGAAGGGTTCCATGAATCAGCTTGTGATTTACGCTCATCCAGCTCAAATTTACTTAGAAAATGGTAAATCACATAATTTTGCATCTTTGTGAGTGGTCTTGACCTGATGATGACACACTCTTTGTGCAAAATAACAAAATTAGTCTTGTCTGTATTTATTAGTTAATTGCAGTGGAAAAGAGGAGGCCAGTGGCCTAACTTGCTTGACCAGGGCCAGTTGTAATGAATGAGGAAGCATTTCTACTGTTTTATAATCTAAGTTCTTCTCACAATTAAGTATTTTTGTTGGACAATTTTAAAAGTGGGAAATATGAATGTTTGTATTTTGGCTGTCCCATATACAGTACTGTAACGTAAGATAACTTTATGTTTTGATAATTTTATCGAGCACTTGCTTTCTTTGATTTCATCAAGCTTGCTAATTTCAGAAAGAGGGCAACATAAAAAAAGGCTGTTCCAGAGTTCAAATTTCAAGTCTTGATTCCTTTGTGTGCCTGTTCGTGTGTGAAATGTGTCTTTATTGCTCATTGGAAGTCACAAGACTGGAGCAAACTGAATAGTTACATAGAAGTTTATATTTTCTACACAGTCTTGAATATCTGAAGATATAGAACAGAAGAATAGAAGTCCATGCTAACATCAGTATCTGACTGGACAGAATGGAAAACTGGAAGCTTTATATTCTCCAAGGTCTTAAAGAGGATAATGTGGCCTAATCAATAATAACTATCTTATCTACTGGATTGACAGTGTCTCTTTCCTAGTACAAAGTCCAGTTGTTGAGGGTAAACTGTCTTTGCATCATGGTTTCTATTATTTTCTTTTCTGTTTTTGTGACAAGTTATTTGATGGAAAAGAAAAAGAAAAAAAATATTATGTCAGACTGACTATGCCAATTTTAGACAATAAATTATGTGTTCTTGAAGTGCACATGTACCTCGGTTGGAATGAGTCTCCTTAAATTACAGCTTGTTTTCTGTTTTAGAAATCTTATCAGGATACTTTTTTCAAGAGAATCTTGTGTAAAATCAAGATCCATACAGTATTGAGCAATATTGAATGTTTTAAAATCTACTCTCCAACAGTGACATATTTGTATACTTTAATTATATGATGGTTACAAGTAAGCATGTCTGTCTTCTGTCTTGTTTATACATGTTAGTGACAAAAGGAGTCCACTGATAGGTTTCATTCTTTGTACAAAATGTTTAATTGGAAATGAGGTTGTTAGTAAAGGCAATTTGCTGGTTAAATTCATTATTTTTGCTTTCAGAGAAGCGTATATAGTTTTGAAATTTTTACCTTTTTACTCCTCAGGTAGACACACCTTTTTCTTGAATTGGTTGTGTTTAGAACAGATCATCTCATGTACAAGATCTATTTTTACTTATATGTCATACCATCGGATGGCTTTGTTTTATCTAGCAATGGCATTAATGTATGAATGTGGGACCTTGTACTGGGAGGAAAAGTGCTGTTTCTTATCATTTAAGTTTGTTTTCTTCAGAGAGTGCACAGAACATGATGGTTGTGTGATGTTAACTTGTCTGCCTAATCTGCTTAGCAAACACAGGTTGATTGTTTCCATTCTTGTATTCTCAGGTCGAAAGCAGGAGATCATTAAGCTGACAGAACAACTGCTTCAAGCCATTACCAGTGGTGACTATGGAGAATACACGTAAGACTCTGTCCCAGTCTCGGTCCGAAGAAGGAGAACAGGCATTGTGAGATGGTTCATGGTTTTCTGTCCATCTTTATTTCTGTCTGTTTTAGCTGTTGTTGACTTTGTGTTGTGATGGAGAACAATGTAAAATAAAGAGACTTCAACCTGCCCTTCCACGTGGAGTTAAAGTGTTTGATCCCAGCTGGTGCTGGGTTGATAATAATAATAGCAACACTGGAATTGTCAGTCATTACCCATTTTTAAATTATCAGTAGGCCTACAATTTTACAGAGCAACATGAAATGATAAATTGTTCAACTTTTATTTAGCAAAGTGTTGCTCTTGTCATAAGACCAGCTGACCCACACAAGATATAAATAAAAAATTTTATTTGACGTATTTGTAGTAAACTATCCATTTTGTATACGTTGTCAAAGACAGATTTGAATGCTCCTAAAACGTAAGAAATAAGCGGAACAATCCAGTGGCCACCAGGTTGAAACATGATGAAACTGAATACGTTTTTTTGCTTCTCATGTAAAATTTACTTCATTGGATTTTTGCCGGTTTTATCTCAAGGGAAACGAAAAGCTGTTTTTATCAAGTCTATCTTGTGTTACTTAGAATTTTATCATTAAGTTTAGTTTTTCAACCCTGTGAATGTGATAAAAATTGTGCATATTTATTTTGTGTTTTTGTGAACAGGAAACTGGTTGATCCCCATTTAACATCATTTGAACCTGAAGCCTTGGGAAATTTAATAGTTGGTCTGGACTTCCATAAATTCTACTTTGACCATGGTAAGTACCCTTCAGCCTTTGTTGTGAGTATGCCGGTACTAGAATGGTAGTTGAGTGTCTGACAGTGAGTGTCAGTGTTCCTCAAGCCTACTTAACTCAACACGCTTGCCTATATCGTTAGCACCATCAACTGTGCATAATTATAGTTCCAACTTATATATATATATTTATAACTCAAGTCCGTAAGGCTGTAAGCTTTATCTGAAACCTTGCATTTTCATAAAGTAGACTGATCATTTGGTACTTTCTAAACCAGTATTAGCACAGTCATTTTCACCCCTTGCTTTAGGGTGTGTGTATCTTTGTGTCTGCGGCTCTTCTATGTTTGTAACTATCAGGTGTTTTATCTGCTACCTAGGTTTTAGTACAGTGTTAACAAATCTTTCAGATGTGCTTCATGTGATTTTTAAAGTAAGAATTCCCTATGTTTTCTTATATAAAAATGGAAAAACTTGCTCATTCCCAAAAAAGAATCGAAAATATAATTTCCTTATAGTGTAATTCATTGACTTGTGTAGGCTTTCATGCTTGTGTCTTAATGTTGTTAGTTTAATGAGTCATTACAAAGATCAAGAGAAGACCCAGGGATGTTGCATGTACACATGTATACTTATCTTATTTCATAACTACACAACTTCAAAAACAAACACTTTTTCTCACTCAATAAAAACACTTTTTCACACACACACACACACACACACACACACACACACACACACACACACACACACACACACACACAGGTGTGCGTGCACGCTCACACTTACACATCAAAACACAATCACCTCTTGCACAAGATGTTTGAAAGTTCCTCAATGTCTCCACATTAATAGGTGAGCTTGCCGCCAATCGCAAAAAAAATGAGGCAAACGGGGCTAACTCAGGTGATCTATCAGTCTACTCACCCCTTACAGAGTCCATGCAGGCGCCCTTAGAGCAATTGTCATGACTGCTTTGCTTTCACCCTTCTTATTATATCAAAGACTGTAGATTATGTGACAGATTATTACAGGTTTTTCCAGCTGTTTTATGACAGAATCTCACAGGCCCAACAAAGTACACCCTAAACAAATGTGTGAAATTTCTAATTTATTCACATTCCTCACTTATAGTAGAAGTGAGTGCATTGATTGTATGGGTAAAAGGTTTTTTAAAAATTGTGTATTGCCTTGAGGGGTGGTAGCTCTACAAAACTGCAATACTCACTTGAGACGCAGTAATAATGTAACTGAAGTCCAAAGTAAAGCTTTGGAGTGTTTTTGTGACATGTGTTGGCCCATGGGATTATCATCAAACAGCCGAATAATCTTGTCTTCTCATTCACTGTCTTTGATGTGCAGCTTCTGTGATTGCCAGATACTAAGATGTGAAATATACCCTATCTTTTGACTCCAGAAAGGCAGTTTATGGCTTGCTTTCTGATGAAATGTTATTAGGGAGGGCTGCAGTATCATCCAGAAATGTTTTTACCACAAAGTAACATCTCTGGCTCAGGACAAGGGACATTTCCCAACAATAGACTTAGTGTGGATATGTAGATCCATGTCAAGTCTGTCGATTAAGAGTCCATTCAGACTGTCAGTCAATAATTCTCTAACAAGACAGAAATCTTTTGAGCTTGAAGAACTCACTCTCTATTCTGGCTTTCACAAAAGTATTCACTGTCTCGTGAGGGTCTGCACAAGTATTAACAGTGTCTGTGCTCCCTGTCTTTTTCTAACCTGTTTGGTTTTCATACTAAAACATGTAATACTAACTGACACAACAGCCAACAGGAGGACAATATTCCTCCTTTTACTCTCATACCAATTAATTCACTTATTAACCGTTGTTCATCAGATATATTATCTTGTTTTTTTAATTAATGAAATTGTACGGTTGTTAGCCAGTGTGAAGTAACATAAAGAAAATAATTATCATGTCACTGAACCAAGAGACAAAGACACTATGGAATACAAATTTGTCTCAAAGTCGGTTGGATTATGTGGACAAATTTATTGGTTGCCTCATTTTTTTTGGAGCCAATGCCTTTTATGGTTTGTTAGTTTTCTGTCTGAGCAGTCCAGGTTTGTTTTTGGATATTGCTGCTATTCTGTGTGGATGTTTTTGTTATGCAACCCTTTCAAATGTCTCAGTCAAGAGCAAGTGAACTAGTCACTGAAAATACAAGGAAACCAAATTGCACGTCATCATTGTTGATTTATGAACTTTCTGCTTTGTGTTTAGGGCTAGATGTTTTAGAATTTATCTGCATAGCTGTGTGACTGTGACATCATAATTCCTGACATTACTGCAGGAACTGTGGGGATTTTTGTTTGTTTGTCACCTGCTATTACTTTAGTTTTGTGTTACGGAAATCCAAATTTATTTGTAATGAAGTTATTTCTTTTTGTATTGTAGTTTTCAATGGGTGTATATTGTAGCTTGGGGTAACCTCTGGTGTCAGTGTGGTGACTACATCGAATGTTTTTAGTAAAATTGATCATTGATACAGAGAGAGTTAGAGTATGAAGTGGTGATGGTATCTTTTGACGCTTGCTTTTCAATCTATTATTAATTTTTCTTTTGCCTGCTTTGAGTCTCCCCCCTTTTTGTCTTAAAAAACAACTTTTGATGCACAATCTATTAAAAAAAATTAGTAAGTCTATTGATTTTCATGCTCTGAGAGTATATTTTAACTTTGTCAGTGGGTGGTTGGCGGGTGCTCTTGTGTGTTTGCTTCTTCTTTCCATCTATCGTCCTTATCTCCCGTTCTTCTTTTTTATGTGAGGAGTGATGCTTTGCAAATCCTAAACCCCTTCACTGCTACACAATCGTCAATTTTTTGCTAAAAATAGTGCTAACGTCATTGTTTTATGAATGAAGATAAAGGGAAACAATTCTCAACATTCAAAAGTTTCATATTTACAATGCTGTATAGGCGAAACAATATAGCGAATTTATCCACAGCGCAGCGAAGAGGTTAAGTTATCCCTTTTTTAGGATGCTGGGTTATCAATTCAGTAATTTCAGAATGTTTGTCAATCATAAAAAGAGTCCCAGAAATATCTACCTATATCTACCATCCTACATAGCCTCCCGAACCACCCACCGGGTGTGGATGGGAGTGTAAAATGTATACAATGATTACAAACCATCCATCCATCCATTAATTCATTTTGTGTTTTATTTAGTTGTTGATTTATCTAGCTATACATGTAGCCATATGTCCCTCACTTTGCTCATCTGTCTGTCCCCTTTACCTATCTGTTGAACCCATAAGTCTTCTACCAACCTGTGTCTCGGGAGTCTTATTAGTCCTCTTTACCTCTCTGAACTCTCTGAATGACATGATAGTTTAGGTTAACAGTGACCAATGTTGCCCTGTAAGAGACTACACCCACATTATGTGAATTTTTTGGTACCGGTAACAAAAATATGAAAGTGTCACTACTGGACGAGACAGAAGCTTGCCCACCTTGTGTCTCACTGCAGTAAAAAAAAGTTGGGACTTGCACACAAGTATTTACAAAATGTCTTTGAGAACTTGTTGAATGCATAACTCACTATATCCACTTTCCTGTTTGCACGTTTTCAGATTGATTTTAAAAAGATTATGAAACAGATAAGAAAATAAGATATCAAGGCACTTTTACACTCGCCGAACAGTGTCAAATTATAAAAACGGTTAAGGGTTACCCCCACCCCTCCACCCACCCAAATAATAATGTAAGAAAAAAGAAATTAAAGCAGGGTTATCCCTGTCCTTACTAATAGAACATATTCTCCTTTACGTTATCTCAACGATGTGTCTTATCTTGTCCTTGATATTTAATGTGACTTCAACATCTCTGAATTTACAATCACACAGTCAGGGAAGACTGTCCTATATTCCCATTCTATCTTTCATCCCCAAAAATGGGGCGGGCGGGCGGGGTGGTGGTCTTACTCCCAGAACTCTTTCTCTTCCTATTAAAAGCCAATTGTTTCCGATTTTTATGCCCAGCTGTTGTATTTTGTTTCTGAAGAACAGTAAAATAAGTTTTGGTTGTTATTATAGGTGGGATTTTCGAATTACTTCAGAGATGAGGGCCCCTGGGGGTTTTAGAGTTATGTAACTCAAGCTACCCTTCACTCTGCACTTTTCTCTGCCCATGCCAGTAATTTTTCTCTTCTTAGCAGCGTGTCAATGTTCTGTCTTTCTCATCCTTTCACACTAAATGGACATGCCTATTGGAAAAAAAAGTGTGTTGCTGGTAACCAATACAAGATAATCACAGTTCACTGTTTTCTTTTTTTCCTTTAAATAAATTGTCTTCTCCCTATCATATTTTTGTCAGGCCTCAGTGAGTGCATATTGCTAGTTAATCTGATCTTTGAAGATGGATTCCTATGTTTAGTAAGCATGCAATTGTCACTTGCAAGCATGCAAAAGTTTGTACTTCTTTTGTTATAAAACTTGCAAATTTTCAAACGTAACTTCCCCTCTTTGCCCACTGAGTTGTATAGTTATTTATTGTATTTAACCCATGTGCATGAAACCAGTCAATAGAAACACTTTTTCTTTTTTGTTCTTTGAAATTTCTGACAATGACATGGTCTTGTTATCAAAAAGAAAGTTTTCAAAATAGTGTATTGTACAGTGAAGTAGGAATTGAAATGCTGCCCAAAGTAATGGTTTAAATTTTGGTTTTAAAATCTGAGACTTGTCTGGAATATTTACGAGAGTGTAGATTGTCCGTCTTTGAAATGTGTATTCATAGGAACATAGAACTGATTGTTTCCTCTACAGCTCAACGTAATGTCTTTTTTTCTGCAAGCTGCTACAAGATTGGAAGGATTGGTTTCTGTAACAACAGCCCTTTAGACCTATCTAGTTGTGATTTTCTTCTGTATCTGGTTTACTTAATTAATCTTACATTGGTACCAGCAGTAGTATATTTATTCAGAACAGTAAAATGTTACAAATATGTTGTGGTAAGACAGTGAAACAAAGAGGAGAAAGAGGAAGGTGAACTGACTAAAAATGACAAGAGGGAAAAAAAATGTCACATGGATCTTGAGCAACATACTTTTCAGGTTTTGAAAGTTGTTGTCATTTGCTGATGTTCTTCATGTTTTTGGGGGGCTTTTTTGCCCTTTTTTATATTTCCAGTGCTGTCAAAAAATAACAAGCCAGTGAACACAAGTATATTGAACCCGCATGTTCATTTGCTGGGTGAGGATGCTGCTTGCATAGCCTATGTGAGGTTAACGCAGTTCATTGACAGGTATGTGGAACAGGGTTTCTAGGTGAAATTGCACAAATTTGGTTCTTTGTAGGTGTTTTAAGATTCCGCTTTCAAAATTAAAAAATCTAAGAATGCAGTCTTGATAGGATGAAATAGAATATTTC